CAAGGGCAAGATACTGAAAATTGTGAAAAAATGTCACAAGTGCAATTGTCTATGCTTTGTTCCTGGAGAAGGATCCTGTGTGTCCTGGGCTGGTTATATGATATATCTACTCCGAATATGCTCAGGAATAGACTCCCTACAGTCCTTGAGGTCCAGCTTTACAGGGAAAACCCCCAGCGGGTGAACCACCAGAAGAGGGGGAGGTACACTATACAATAAAGGATTACCCTATGGTCCTGAGCTCCTGATACATTGTTTCTATTGTTGAATAGATGATTGAGATATAATTCCAAAGTCTGTTCACCTAGAAATGAACACATAGGAACATATTTTGTATTTTTATGTATATATGCAATATCCATTTAAGCACCAAGTCTCAACTACCGATTACCAAGTCCCGACACTTGATAGTTGATAGTCAGTATTTGAGCTCCGAGTGCCAATATTGCCTACCAATATCTCAGTCAAATGATAACCAAACCAAGACCCAAGTTCCAAACCTGACTACCGAATACCAAATATCAGTACTCAGGACTCAGGACTATTGGCTGGAGTACCCAACTATTGATTCCCAGGTACCGAGAATTAGAACCAAGTACCAAGTACCTGACTACTGATTCTCGGGTACCAAGTATCAGAACCAAGTACCAAGTACCCGACTACTGATTTGAAGTACCGGGTTTCGGCACTCGACACTTGGTGATTTGTGCAATGAGTAGATGGGCATGTGGCATACATGTTTTTGGGCTTCGGGTTTTAGGATTCTGCCCTTGGCACTCAATGATCTGTGTAATGTAAATGAACAATGAACATGTTGCACACCGGGTTTTGAGTTTCGGGTTTCGGCACTTGAAACTCGGTGATTTGTGCAACAAGTGAAAAATGGAAATGTTGCATACATATTTTCAGGTCTCGGGGTTCGGGTTTCGGCCCTCGGCACTCGGAACTCAATGAATTGTGTAATGTACATGAAAAATGGACATGTTGCACACTGGGTTTCAAGTTTCACACTTTGGCACTCGAAACTTGGTGATTTGTGCAGTGAGTGAAAAATGGACATGTTGTGTACATATTTTCAGGTCTCAGGCTTTGGGTCTCAGCCCTCGGCACTCAGAACTCGATGATTTGTGTGATATAAATGAAAAATCAACATGTTGCACACTGGGTTTCAAGTTTCACGCTTTGGCAGAACTCGAAGTTGTTGATTTAGATATCACCCGAAACCTGAACACCCGAATGTCAAATTTTCAGTGCCGAACCCCCAACCCTGACTGCTGGGTGCCGAGTCCCGAAGTCCGGAACTCAGGATTTGACATTTGAGATGAACGAAATTTTTCAGACATGTTTGAATTAATCTACGTATATCTATAAACATTTCACTAACCCCTGAACCCTGAAAGATATTTTTGTTGTCTTACATACCAAATTCTGAGTTCCGAGTTCTGGGACCCCCGGACCCCCGAAACCCGGCAGTCCACAATTTCGGAGTTCGGGGGTTGGTAAAATATGTATGGATATATGAAGGGTTGGTTTAAACATTTTAAAAGATGTCTCATATCAAATGTCAAGTCCCAAGTTTCGATTTCCAGGTTTCAAGAGTGCTGAGTCCCGAAGCCCGGAGTCCCGAAACCCGGAAATCAAAACTCGGGACTTGACATTTGATATGAGACATCTTTCAGAAATGTTTCAATCAACCTTTCATATATCCATGCACATTTTACCAACCCCTGAACCCCGAAATTGTGGACTGCCAGGTCTCGGGGTTTGGGGGTCCCGGAACTCGGAACTTGGGAAATTTGGGGAGATCAATAAAATTTGATTTACCCATGTTTAAAATATATTTTTGTTCTACATACCGAGTTCCGAGTTCCGGACCCCGAGACCCGGCAGTCTCGGGGTTCGGGGGTCCCGGCACTCGGAACTTGGGGAGATTTGGGGAGATCAATAAAATTTGATTTACAATTGAGTTGATTGGCAAACACATTGACTTACCCATGTTTGAAATATATTTTTGTTTACACATACTGAGTTCCGAGTTCCGGGTTCCGGACCTCCGAACCCTGAAACCCGAGACCCGGCAGTCCACAATTCTGGGGTTCAGGGGTTGGTAAAATGTGTATGAATATATGAAAGGTTGAATGAAACATTTTTGAAAGATGTCTCATATCAAATGTCAAATCCCGAGTTTCAACTTCCGGATTTCGGGAGTGCCGAGTCCCGAAACCTGGAGTCTTGAAACCCGAAATTTGAAACTCGGGACTTAACATTTGATATGAGACATCTTTCAAAAATGTTTCATTCAACCTTTCATATATTCATACACATTTTGCCAACCCCTGAACCCCAGAATTGTGGACTGCTGGGTCTCGGGTTTTGGGGTTGGGGGGTCCAGAACTCAGAACTCGGTATGTGTAAACAAAAATATATTTCAAACATGGGTAAGTCAATGTGTTTGTCAATCAACTCAATTGTGAATCAAATTGTATTGATCTCCCCAAATTTCCCCCGAGTTCCGAGTTCTGGACACCCGATACGCGAGACTCAAATTGTATTGATCTCCCCAAATTTTCCCAAGTTCTGAGTTCCGGACACCCGACACCCGAAACCCGGCAGTCTCGGGTCTCAGGTATCGGGTGTCCGGAACTCGGAACTCGGGGGAAATTTGGGGAGATCAATACAATTTAATTTACAATCGAGTTAATTGACAACACATTGACTTAATCATGTTTGCAATATATTTTTGTTTAGACATACCGAGTTCCAAGTTCCGGACACCCGATACCCGAGACCCGAGACTGCCGGGTTTCGGGTGTCGGGTGTCCGGAACTCGGAACTTGGGAAAGTTTGGGGAGATCAATACAATTTGATTCACAATCAAGTTGATTGACAAACACATTGACTTAACTATGTTTGCAATATATTTTTGTTTAGACATACCGAGTTCCGGACACCCGATACCCGAGACCCGGCAGTCTCGGGTTTCGGGGTCCGGGGGTCCGGGGGTCCGGAACTCGGTATGTCTAAACAAAAATATATTGCAAACATAGTTAAGTCAATGTGTTTGTCAATCAACTTGATTGTGAATCAAATTGTATTGATCTCCCCAAACTTTCCCAAGTTCCGAGTTCCGGACACCCGACACCCGAAACCCGGCAGTCTCGGGTTTCGGGGTTCGGGTGTCCGGAACTCGGAACTCGGTATGTCTAAACAAAAATATATTGCAAACATGGGTAAGTCAATGTGTTGTCAATCAACTCGATTGTAAATTAAATTGTATTGATCTCCCCAAATTCTCCCAAGTTCCGAGTTCCGGACACCCGATACCTGAGACCCGGCAGTCTCGGGTTTCGGGGTTCGGGGGTTGGTACATCTCGGTTTGGGGTTTGGCACTGAAAATTTGACATATATATTTTTGTGAGTGTTGTGCTTCTGGTGTCCATGCTTAGAAATAGGATTTGTTGCACACCAGGGTTCAGGTGTGGGGTTTTTCCACTTCAGTCCTGGATTATTGGTCAATGCCACACATGATCGATTCATGTTTTTGTGCTTAGGGGTTTAGATTTGGTGGTTGATGGTAGGTATATGCACTCATAGTGTACATGTATCCTATGTGTTTGATTCGCTGGTGGCTACATCAGCTGTATGTCTTGATGGAACATATCTAGGCTCACCCATATATGTAATACACCCCCGTCGGCCCGCCCATCTATGTATTATCCCCCACGTCAGCCAACCCATCTATGTAATACATCCTATGTTGGCCCACCCGTCTATATAATTATACCCCACCTCGGCCCACCTGTCTATGTAATAAATATTTTATCGCACCCTCGGCCCACCGGTCTATTTGATATCCCTTTCGTCGGCCCACCCGTATATGTAATACATTCCACGTCGGCCCACCTGTATATGTAATACACCCTACGTCAGCCCACCCGTCTATGTAATATTTCCCTACCTCGGCCCACCCATATATGTAATACACCCACGTCGGCCCGCCCGTCTATATAACAGTATTTGCCTTACATCTCTCTTCAGCCCAGCTGTCTATAATATCCTACTCTACATATTACCCAGATGGGCCCACCCATCTCCATGAATGATCATATTCCCCCGGCCCATCCATCAACATTAAGGATATATATATCATTGGCATACATGGGCCCACCCGTCTCCATCAGAAATAATATGTGTCCCGGCCCATCCGTCATCATCGAGAATATACACAACATGGGCCCATGATCAGCTGGCCCGTCTCATACGGGATATTATGGAGGTTGGGTGGCCCGTATAATACGGAATTTGTCACTGAAGGGGCTCGGTGGATGGCGACTTGTGGCGGTTGCTCGAACAATGATCAACACACTCACTTCCTATGAACAGCGGACAACGACTTGGATCAGCATGGTGGTTGCTCGAATGATGATTGATGCACTCACCCACTGTGAACAGCAAACAATGACTTGGATCAGTGTGGCTCTTGCTGGAACGAGATCAACACACTCACTTCCTGTGAACAGCGGGCAACGACTTGGATGAAGTTGGATCAGTGTGGCTCTTGCTCAAACAAGGACCAACACACTCACAATCCAACGACGAGCGCGGAAGGACGACTATGAACTACCTAGTTTGTAGTTACAAATGTTAGATAGAACTTTTAAAAAAACCTAAAACATACCTATCAGCTTGATGGTTGAGGCTGACAACGTTGAACATTGAGGAATGAGGGATTGACGTCAGAAGTTCAAAAAAATTTCAAACCAAAGTCATGCGAGCCAAACAAATACATGCAAATGGTTCGATATCAACACAGTCACATGAGCGAAACATATATGTGCAAATGATGAACTTCAACAAAATTTTACTCAGTCGTTCAGCGACTGCTTGACACTTGTTCTAGGTGTGCATGTTTTTTTTTCTCGTTTACTACTATCTTTAACCTTGCAGCGTGCTACTACGACCACCACTCGTGCCCTACACTACATCCTACCCTCCATCTCATGCTTCCTGTCTTGGCCCTCCTTCCACTCTTCTGGCGCTCTCCAGTGTTCTCTGCACATGTTCAAGCCACGTCAACATTTTGCTGGCGTGTGCCGGGCATGTGCGCTAAACACTGGTGGCTGCTGGGATCAGGTGGGGCGTCCCATGGTTCTGGATGATTGTAATGATTTTTGATTGAATTCGTATTTTGATAGACACACTTTTGTATATTCAAGTGATTTCTGACATTTTGTGATATTTGCATTTAACATTATCATCTTCTAGCAATTTTATTCCTAATTCTTGTAATTAGATAGAGTTATCTGAATTAGAACTTTTAGGGAAAATTATAACATTTTTTCCCCAGGAGGGTTTTCCTGATGAACTTGATGCATCACCTTGCTTTGCCTGCATGTATGCCAGGCAAAAGGTCAGCTGACACATGTAGTCAATTTACAACAAACAAGTACTAGGAGGCATCATCGATATTGATATCAGCCTCATTTCAATTTCAAATTTGATCATTAAACTGCAGAATTTTGGAATACCAGGCAGAATCATGTGAGATGCTGTACAAAGTGGTAATCCGATGGAATGGTGGGACGGGCATGGACTACCAAGGCCAAACCTCTATAGCAGGAGGCTATCTATCGAGGTCCGACTACGGCAACACAGCATAGGACTACAGTCTACAAGTCAATGCGCCAGGACCTGCGCCAGACTCCCTTACTGCAGTGAAGGTTCCCAATAAAAACATGTTTTATGGTATAAGGTGTGCATTCAGTTCAATGAGGGAATTGCCTGGCTCAAGGGAAAGGACTGTCTTAGGATCTGGCGCGAGCTCGTAGTGGGGAAATCAACCAACATTCAAAATGAGTCTACAAGGCCGTATTTTATCTACAAGAGAGTAAAGGTCCTCGGTTATTATGAAAGTGAAGGTTTAGTGAGACGGAGAATGGTGGCGCTGAGCCTGACAGGGTAGGAGTAATGGAAATGAGTGAGAGTATGTTAGTTTTGAATAAAAGATGGTAATATGCAGCTCACTGTGCACAGGAATGACGAGAACCGTTGGGCACTTGACTGTTTTTGGAGCAAAGGAATGAAACTAAAAGAGAGTGACGAGAAAGAGTTTGGTGATAAATCCAGGGTATAGTATGAATGAGGGTGAAAGACCGAGCTTGTCGTTGAGAATAACGAGATAGTGAAGGTAAGAACAGAGAATGTGTCTGTGCGACTCGGACGCGAAGCATAACTAGTGCTGCCGTGGTCCGGTTCAGTCCGTTCAGAGGGTCCTGGACGAGAACCAAGAACCAGACCACAGAGAACGGTTCTCTGTGGTCCGGTTCAGTTTTTTTCTGGTCCACACTCGAACCGAACCTGAAAATTTTCAGTGGCGAGCGTGAAAAAAAATACATTGAAATACTACTTTACACATCGAGTAGCTACTCCAATGACATAGCTACATACCCATCTCTGCCTCTGTAGTTGCTGAAGATGCTGACATGCTGGGAGGAACATGAAAGTAGGAAGTGAGGATGGTGCAGTTCTTGGCAATGAAGGCTGCACGCTGGACATTTAGACAGAGGATGGCATCATTTCAGAACAGCGAGAAAACACCTGCACATCCTGAGCGAGAGGCGGTGGGTGAGATTTACCTGCAGGTAGTACATATAAATATTAAGTTAGAAACATGAAAAAAAAACAATTGTAAAAAGGACTCACTAAGACACTGTGAACGGCAGGCAACAACTTTGATCAGCAGCAAATTGCAGACAACGACTTGGATCAGCATGGCTCAAGTCGAAGGAGGATCGACACACTTATTCACTGTGAACGGTGGGCAACAACTTGGATCAGCATGGCTCGAGCTCGAAGGAGGATTGACAGACTCACTCACTGCAACTCCCCATCCAGAGTCGAGTCTACATGCGCTGCATGCGAGCGAGAATGAGTGCCGCCTCTCATGCTGTTCCCATCTCCGGCACCCTGGTGTCATCCGCAAGTGTTCATGCTACGTCAGCACTTGCTGGCGTGTGTTGGGCGTTTGCGCATGGTGCTGGTGGCATTGCATCAGTGAACTGAGAGGATCCTGAGAAAGATATATATTACATTATAAAGTAGATAATCACCAACATCAGTACAATTCTGCTACCAGTCATCCCATTGTAGTCACGTGGTCTGAACATTTGTCGGTCATTGCCAAAGCGGCTTTCCATTAAAATGGCTTAGATGGCCTTGAACCTGAAGCACATATGAGTCAAACTGAGAATGGACTTGCAGGGTGAAGGTGCTGGACTATTGTATTTTACTTGCTATGATGTCGCTATACTTCAACCTTGTCATTGACGCATCTTCTAAGTCTAGATTTGCACGGATCAATGGTCATTTATGAACAACACAAATTTCTTCTAGAATACATAGATATATTCGGCAAAGCATAATTGTATCGGTCTATAGGTCTCATGACTACCATATCATGGACTCATGAATTCACTGATGTGGACACAGTGTGGTGGTCATCAGCATGGCTCGAGCTCGAACAAGGATTGACACTCACGAACTGCGAATGGTGGGCAACGATTTGGATCAGCATGGTTTGAAAATCTTGTGAGACAGGTGTCCTGTGATAGTTAAAAAAATGAGAGTTTGATTGATTAGTACTAACCTTCAAAAAGGCTAAAGGTAGCCTAATTAACCAATAGTGCAAATCCAGAAGATGACACTTTGACGTCGTCATAGTTGAAGTCGAAGTCGACAATGGGTTCGGGGTTCGGAAATGGTTCGGGAAGGTCGAACCAGAACTGGACCATTTGGGAAGATCTAGAACCGAGAACCGTTCTATGCTCCTAGTTCAAAGATTGACAATTGTCATGAGACATTGAACTTTCAAGAACACACATGAATATATTAAAGAGCATGTAGATAACAGGCAACAGGCAACAGGCAGCAGGCAACAGGTAACAGGTAACGAGTGACAGGCATGTAAGTAGACAAGTAAGTCTGAACAAAGGGCAAGTAAGGTAATTGTAGTGTTTATTTGGGCAAAGCCCTGAAGGGCTCTAGACCGAAACACACCTTGAGGCTCCTGAAGAAGGGAGAAAGCTGAGCTGAGATACCCTAGTATAAGGAGCGAACGATGCAGCCAGCATCAGCTGCACATATTATAGTGACCTATCTCCATATAATATGAGGGAATGGACGTGCATAATATCCCGTATGATATGGGCCAGCGGACCATGGGCCCATGATAAAAATATCCTCGACTATGACAGATGGGCCGGGAGGCAAATTATTCCCAATGGAGGCGGGTGGGCCCATGCAGGGAATATATGGAGTAGATGAGTGGGCCGATGTACATGAATATTAGGTAGACGGGTGGGCCGAGGTAGTTGGATATTATGCAGATGGGTGTATTAAGGTAGATGTGTATGAGATAGATGGGTAGGTACTTGTTATCACATTCACGGGTGGGCCCAGACACATATTAAATTAGACGGGTGGGCCGAGGGTATTATAAAATATTGTATCAGATGGGTGGGCCCAGACACATATTAATTAGATGGGTGGGCTGAGAGTGGTATAAAATATAGATGGGTGGGCCCATGTGTATCATAATTGTAGACATGATGGAGCTGAGGTAGTTGTACATCAACCAAATCAGAGGAGGTAATAAATCAAAGTTACCAAGTTCCCGGAGCAGCAGGTGATCTCCTGACATGGCCTTTGATGGTGCTCAGATTGTCTTGCAAATTTTGGAATCCGGGGTGCAAAGCTTGTGTTGCCCTATGAGAAGCCAAGTTCCGATTACCAACCTTTGGGTCAACCATACTCAGAGGAGGTAATAAATTAAAGTTACTGAGTTCCTGGAGCAGCAGGTGATCTCCTGACATGGCCTTTGATGGTGCACAGGTTGTCTTGCAGAATTTGGAATCTGGGGTGTGAAGCTTGTGTTGCCCTATGAGACACCAAGTTCCGACCACCCAAATTTGGGTCAACCGTACTGACTTCCGAGTTCTGGGACCCGGGAGTCAACAAATGAATATCTGATAACCAGCACACTTCCAATCAGGTAGTATGTCATTGAGCAATGGATCATCCAAGGGGTCCCTTATCAGACTCAGTAGTCAATATAGGCAAATGATAATGAAACATGAAAGTTGTTATTATGCTATTTTTCAAACCCAAGACCCGAAAATATGTATGCAACATGTCTATTTTTCACTTGTTGCACAAATCACTGAGTTTTGAGTGCTGAAACCTGAAACTCAAAACCCGGTGTAACACTCGGGCTGGCACTGGACACGTATCTGGTGATAATCATGTTTTATACTCCTCGACACACTTCTGACCTTCCGAAAGTTCCGCGCATCTGTCTGAGTCGTCCGAAGGTCGTCCGTCTGATTCTGAGGCCTTTCCTAGCTTTCCCAATCCTCCGTACCATGTCCTGTTCTAGTCCATTTGACTTCGCTGGTGCGTTTCTCATTATTGATTACCTGTTATTGATTATGTCTAGGGGCACGTATGTCGAAAACACTTGCTAATATGTATAGATATGCTCCTCATACGTTATTACACGTATATCTTTGTAGTGGTTTGCCTTGAGTCTTATTACATTTTGGATGTCTTATCTCGCTACAGTTTTCGCCTACATGGATTCCGGACTTTCACGTCATAGGATATATTCTGGCTCACTAGGTACTCGCAGGACACTTCACTTCCCTTGCTTCGAGTCATAGTTAGTAGTTGTCACTTCCGGTGTAGAAACAACAATACTGAGAGGAACAAAGAAATGCTCCTGACTGTATCTAAAAAGTTGTAGGTCGTGCGTTGCCTAGTCTGCGATACTTGAGATGGCAAGTGCATTCGACCCTAAAGGGGAAGCAGGTGCAGCGGAGATCTAGAGGTACACGCTTCAGCGAAGCACGAGAAAGCGCAGGTGCGCGCAAGGTACGAAGGCGCGGGAGCGCGCGCGCGTATTAGCGCGAAGCGCGGGAAAGCGCGCGCGTGTAAGCGGAAATAAGAGAGACTAAACTTATGTGAAGATATAAGCAAGATAAAGGATGTGAGATGTGTTGTGCTAATGAATAGATTTCTACTGCGACTTTCTAAGTAGTAAGTACTAGGTAAAGTTGGGTGAAAAGTAAGGTAAATAATAGTATGTACTGCTGGCGCTTATATAGCGCGCCTAAGCGCGCTCATGCGGAGCCGAAGCGCTACCGAGTAGGTATGTAAAAATATATATGAGTGAGAAACTATGATAAAAATAAAGGTGGAACTATGCTAATAAAGGAAATGGAAATATACGCACTAGGGAGCTTGGTGGACAGTGGATGGATGCATCTGGATGGCTGGCGCTATAGGGCGCGCAAGCGCGGGAACGCGCGCGCGCGTATACATCGTGAAGCGCGGGAATGGTGCGCGCATGGCGCGCGTTGCGCGGGAAAGCTGCACGTCATATAGGAATCACTGTGGATGGTACACAGAGTGATGCTGCGAGTTGGTGCTGTATACTCCCTAGTGTAAAGCGCCATATCACACTATGAGATGCACGAGTCTCTACACCGGGTTTTAGTACTTCGCAATCGATCTTTGTTCATTCGGAACGATTGTTTGGCGTCACTGCTGCCATTTTTCTATTAAAATCCTTAAAGTCTTTCGACGAGCTTCGCTAGTTACACTACGCAAAGTCCTATACTTCGACAACCGCTGTAAGACTTTACCGGAAACCTTGCTGTTTCATCGGAAGCTCGCCAGAAGCTTCGCGCAACCTCGGACCTTTGTTTCTAGACATCGGACCTATACTGGGCGCTTCGGACAATTCATCAGATACTTCGGACTGTTCTTCGGATCTCTGAACGTACCAGAGGTATACCTCTCTTCTCTCACCTTCGATCTTAACAAGATATCCCTTGCTTTTATATTGAGAGATAATTCTACAGGCAGTCCCTTGGGACGAACATCTCACTCGCACTTTGGAGTCTTAAGGTAAACACCCTTAGTATAAGCCCACTAGAAATCAACTCTTTACACCGGCATGCAACATGTTGATTTTTCATTTATATTACACAGATCATCAAGTTCCGAGTGCTGAGGGCCGAAACACAAACCTTGAGACCCGAAAATATGTATGCAACATTTCCAATTTTTCACTTGTTGCACAAATCACCAAGTTTCAAGTGCCAAAACCTGAAACTCAAAACCAGGTGTGCAACATGTCCATTGTTCAATTATATTACACAAATCATCAAGTTCCAAGTGCCGAGACCCGGGACCCGAACCCCGAGACCCGAAAATATGTACACAACATGTCCATTTTTCACTCATTGCACAAATCACTGAGTTGTGAGTGCCGAAACCCGAAACTCAAAACCCGGCATGCAACATGTTGATTTTTCATTTACATTACACAAATCATCGAGTTCTGAGTGCCGAGACCTGAGACCCGAAAATATGTATGCAACATTTCCATTTTTCACTTGTTGCACAAATCACTGAGTTTTGAGTGCTGAAACATGAAACTCAAAACCCGGTGTGCAACATGTTGATTTTTCATTTACATTACACAAATCATCAAGTTCCGAGTGCCGAGACCCGAGACCCGAACCCCGAGACCCGAAAATATGTATGCAACATTTCCATTTTTCACTTGTTGCACAAATCACCGAGTTTTGAGTGCCAAAACTCAAAACACGGTGTGCAACATGTTGATTTTTCATTTACATTACACAAATCATCGAGTTCCGAGTGCCGAGGGCCGAACCCCAAACCCCGAGACCCGAAAATATGTGCGCAACATGTCCATTTTTTATTTGTTGCACAAATCACCGAGTTTTGAGTGCTGAAACCTGAAACTCAAAACCCGGCATGCAACATGTTGATTTTTCATTTACATTACACAAATCATCAAGTTCTGAGTGCCGAGACCCGAGACCCGAACCCCGAGACCCGAAAATATGTATGCAACATGTCCATTTTTCACTTGTTGCACAAATCACCGAGTTTTGAGTGCTGAAACCCGAAACTTAAAACCAGGTGTGCAACATGTCCATTGTTCAATTATATTACACAAGTCATTGAGTTCCGAGTTCCGAGGGCCGAAACCCAAACCCTGAAAATATGTGCACAACATGTCCATTTTTCACTCACTGCACAAATCACCGAGTTTTGAGTGCTGAAACCCAAAACTTGAAACCCGGCATGCAACATGTTTATTTTTCATTTACATTACACAAATCATTGAGTTCCGAGTGCTTTGGGTCATGTCCATTTTTCACTCATTGCACAAATCACCAAGTGTCGAGTGTTGAAACCTGAAACCCGGTACTTCAAATGGACACAAATTGTATTTGTATGTATTATCCATTGGTGTAGGGCTCAAATAACTTGGGAATTGTATTTGTCAGTACTCAGTACTCGGTGCTTGGTACTTGGTACTTGGTACTCGGTGATTGGTACTCAGTGATTGGTGATTGGTGGTCAGTGGTCGGTACTCGAGACTCAGGTAGTCAATATAGGCAAATGATAATGAAAAATGACAGTTGTAGTCCATGTCAAGGTGAGTGATTTGGTAGTCTTTCCTTGTCATTCGGCAAAACATCAGCAATAATGAAAAAATGAAAGTTGTTATTATGCTTAACTTCCTTACCAAAGGTTGTAGTCCAAGTCCAGGTGAGTGTAGTGGTAGTCTTTTCTTGTCAATTGGTTATCTTGTTACTCATTACGCAGTACTCGGTACATGGTAATTGGTACTCAGTATTTGGTTGTGATACTCAGTATCCAGGAATCAGTAGTCAGCTTAATGAAGGTTGTA